GAGTAGACGGATTTCGTAAGCATGACGTCTATTAGAAAGTATCATACAGAAAGTAATATTTTAAATGAACAAAAAGTTTTACTCTTTCCTAGTTACTGTAGCACAAAAGCGCTGAAAATTGTTTCCTTGAACGGCTTTCAGCGTTATTCATTCTTGCCGATGAATGGCTGTCGATGTTATCATTAAAAAAAGATGCGAACGGCTGATGACGTTACTAAAATATTGATGACACTCTAACTTAAATATCTTATAACTTTAAAGAAAAGTATTTTTGAAGATATGGTTTGGAATATTTAATGACGAAATATTGACGTTTACGAATCGTATGATAAAATGATTTATTATCATGAGAAAATATAATTAAGTTTTTGTGACTTAAAAATAAAATTGCCGCATCTCATCGAATAGTGTGGTTATTTTCAGTCAATATTCACGTGAAATAAAGCTTGCACATGGCCAGAAATTTGTTAGTATGCTCCTTTGGATGTTGACTATATCCAAAACATTGATTTACTCGAACGCAGTTGGGATACGTTAAAAAAAAGGTGAATACTTACCGTCCGTCAATTGTGTTTTCTGCGCCGACATGTATATACTGTTATAGCTGTCGACGTTTGAACTGCTGTCTGCCCATTTGATTGTACGGTGTGTTTACCAATGCAGTATACCGTACCCCGGATATTGCTCAATATTAGGTGGACTTTCATCCCATTTCGCGACTTTGAACAGCGAACGAAGGTAAGTTCAGCGACGATTTTTTCCAAACTATTGGCTATTTCATTAATATCAACGGGTTTTTATATATCTAGATGTATTTTTGTAGCTCTAAAAGACATCAAATTATTACAGATATTTGTAAAATTGATTAAACTACCCCCAAACGATCGGCTGCTCACTAGAAAATACTGAACGCGATACTGTAGAATCGTTAGAAATTATTATATTACCAAGTTTAAAAAAATGAATAGAGCATTTTTTTTCATTCATTATCCAATTATGCTTAGTCAAAATACCAGGCAAAAAGTGTAAAAGTACAAAAAGATACAGGCAAAAAAAGGTACAAGAAAGTGTACCGAGTATTGATTTTAAGGTGATTCTGCTTTGTCAGCCATGTTTGTTTTCACTATGTGGGTCCAAAGTGAAAGTAGGCCAAAATTCATATAACAACAAAGTTCACATTGTTATATGATGAGCCTTTTGCAAGTTCACTTCCAGTTCTATGTTTTAAAGACTATTTTAAACAAAAATAAAAATGATAACAATAAGAAAATTTACCTTGAATGTGCTACATTTCTGAAGACCAAAAACATTCTGTTGCAAAGTTTTATGCACATTTCATGAATGGCAAAATCCTTTTTAAAGTCTGTTTTAGTGCCTACAAAAGCTGTTTTTTGCAGAAAATACAAAAAACTTTAAAAAATATAAACCTTGGGAAAGTAGTTTATCTGACCTTGAAAAAACATGGCCACCATGACATGTGTAAAAAAGTAGTACCATATGAAAATAAACATCATTTACTTATTTCTGTGTACATGACAAACAGACACACTTCACAGTTACACATAAAAAGGTTAGATTTTAAAGTTTGATAGTGTTTTTATTTTAATAGTAGTTCATAAGGCTATAAATGATGATTGTTTTCTTGCACTACTTTTTTACAAAAAATAATGGAGGCCATGTGCTTAGAAGGACATGAGATATGGATTTATTTGGAGTTAAGTTTTGAAAGATTTTTGTATTTGCTGCAAAAAATAGCTTTTGTAGGCACTAAAACAGACTTTAAAAAGGATTTTGCCATTCATGAAATGTGCATAAAACTTTGCAACAGAATGTTTTTGGTCTTCAGAAATGTAGCACATTCAAGGTAAATTTTCTTATTGTTATCATTTTTATTTTTGTTTAAAATAGTCTTTTAAACATAGAACTGGAAGTGTACATGCAAATGGCTCATCATATAACAATGTGAGCTTTGTTGTTATATGAATTTTGGCCTACTTTCACTTTGGACCCACATAGTGAAAACAAACATGGCTGACAAAGCAGAATCACCTTAAGTGTACAGAGTATTGCAAAATAGCCCAACTTTAGTGTACAGTGTATTGCAAAACTGAATGAGCAAATTAGAATTGGGAAATCGATATTTTTTTGTCTTATTTTACGTCTGTTTATCGATGCCATTTTATTTTGCTAATAATGTACTGTTTATGATACTAGTATTTATTCAAATATTTCAGATTCAACAATGCATATTCAGTGTTATTACTGTTGTTTTTCTACGGACAAATACAGACATTTAATTTCCCATTTGATAGACAATCACACTATGGATGAAATAAAGTTTAAGCGTATTAATGAAGATGGCAGTGTGCTTATATATTAATTAATTATACATGAATTATAGGTTTTTAAAGGGCAAGTGTGCCTTAAGAAACATGTCGACACACTTCATATATTTTATACTGAGAACTGACATTTAAAAAGATATTAAGACTAAGGTAAGTCTTAGCTAGCGTATATCCAAGGAATAAGCTAAGAATACAGATATTGGTTGCAATGTTTACACTGCCAGTGCTTTGTTTTATAATTAGACAGGTGCTCTCTTCTTTAATCAATCATTCAAACATATTAATAGACAACAACAAAATACATTGTAAGAACCTGATGTTATATATTTGCCTTCTATAAGTCATTTTACTAAGCTCGATAAGTGAAGACACTACATATGGAAAGTGAACGGTAGTCAAACAGTATACTCGTTAAATATCAAAATAGCCCATAATACACTGATGACAGTATAATCTAAGGAATAGGGTGTTGATATTTTAAGATTATTTAAAAAAGAGACTATGTCATTTTTTCAATATGCAGTCAGGCTTATTGATTGGCTTGTGATTTGATGATGGATATGGAATACATATGAGCCGCGTCACGACAAAACCAACATAATTGGTTTGCGACCAGCATGGATCCAGACCAGCCTGCGCATCCGCGCAGTCTGGTCAGGATCCATGCTGTTCGCTTACAAACCCTATAACAAGTAGAGAAAATAAAAGCGAACAACATGGATCCTGATCAGACTGCGCGGATGAGCAGGCTGGTCTGGATTCATGCTGGTCGCAAACCCATTATGTTGGTTTTGTCGTGACGTGGCTCATATTCACATGTGGATCACGTATTGCATTTTGTCCCATGTTCCCTTGAATTGACCAAACAATGTTCTTTCTGCTAGAAGTTTTTACTTTTTTTTAAATTTTCATTAAAAAAATAATAAAAAATAAATAAGGAGGCATTCTGCTGTTCAAAAAGTTTCAAGTAGGGTCGTTCTTTAAAATAGAAATTCTATTTGATCACGATATCGACCTAATGTGTTATAATTTGATATGTGTTAACGAAATTGATAAACAGTATGTAGGCAAGGAATTTATAAAATGAAATAATGTCAATATTCTATCATTTGAATTCTATATGTTCGGAATGTGTGTGTCTCAACCAGTGGCGGTTGGGTGTATATGTTTATATACATGTATCTTGAAGCATATATCTTAATTATCTTACTCATCATCATCTACAAAAGTCATGTGACTTGCTGTGGCGTATGACCTTGCGTACTTTTAAAGTGTCAGTGCTGTTTGTAGTCCACCTTGCAGAAAAGGTCAGCAAACTTCTGTATATCAAGGAAATGGAGAAAATTCAATTATTATAGTTAACAAACTTGTAACATTACATTATAAAAAGGTTACTATGTTTATTAGTGATGAGTGACGTAGTGTCAAGCGTCTATAACTTCTTATGATATTACAACGTTAGTATAACCTCTAACCGTCATATGTCCAAATCAATCATTAAGACAGTAATACCCTCGAAGAAAAAGTATTTTTATTTCATCACAGCAAAAATTACGCAATCCGGTCAATTCGTCCCCTGGTCAACTCGTCCCCTGGTCAACTCGACACCTTTTTGGTCAACTCGTCCCCTACTTTTGGTCAACTCGTCCCTAATATGGTCAACTCGTCCCCTACTTTCGATCTCTGTCTTTAAAATGTCTTTAAATAATTCTTTTATGTAAAATATGTAAAATTAATACTGAATTTGATTGATATCGAAATATTGATAAAATAATTACGTCTTTTTTACGTTAAATTTTAATGATCTTTATCTAAGCGCACGTGCATAGCTTTGATGTCAAACTACAAAGACAAGTAAGTTTACAAACATTCAATTAATGTTTAATTAATCGGAGTTTTAATGATAATTAAAACTAAAATTAGGTCCAACTCTTTGATTTTTACCGCCTCCCTGAATGGATTAAAGACTGACGACAGATTAACAGAAATTAGAAGCGCTAAAAACTTTATGTCGGTGCGTATTGATCTCATTATAGAAGCATCGTGTCAATTAAAAACATGATAATTGTTTGTTGGGAAATTGTCAATATAAAAGTTGCCCTGATAAATATAAGATTTATTCTTAAAAACACATTTGCGTTGTACGTTATATGAACATTGGATTATTTTTTATAGTGCATATTAATCATTTCTTAGAATTCCATATTGTTGGATTATAGACTGCATGTGAACGGTGTATGTGACAATTTTAATTATTTGTGTTGTTGATTGTGACTTTTTTAATTGATTAGTATCGTTAATTGTGACAATGTACCCCTGCATTGATTGTAGGAAACATGTGCGGAAAAATCAGCAAGCACTTCAGTGTGAGCGCTTTGAACACTGGCAACACAGAAGTTGTAATCGAGTTAGTCATTTGTGATGTTTATGTTCATTTTTAACAGACAAATGGTCTTGCAATTCCAAATGATCTTATATAGTGTATTGGAATAAAAATTGTCAAAGAATATTTAATGAATTTATTAAGTTTTTTTTTTTTTTTTAATTGCATTTTATTGTAATATTATGGTCCATTATTATCATAGGAGTTGTATATACATACATGCCTTTTGAAAGAGTTAGTATTTATTTATTTTTTTTTTCATTATTTTTTTTTAAATAAAAAATCCGTACAATAATATTTGCAGTGGATATTAACTGATTGAAAACATGATTGAAAACATAAAAGTAATTACCAAGTATTCAATTGCCATCTAATAATTAGTAAAGATTAATATTCAATTTCCATAAATAAATCTTTAAACTGATCTCAAAGAGGAGCTGTATAAAACCGAGTTCCAGAATTTCTTGTATAATACAAGTCAACATATTGAATGTAGTAATTGTATTTAATCAACATTTTCATATATTTGACCATACACCATCAAAACAAATTCGACATTTGGAAAATAAATTTTTATAACAACCCGATTTTCAAGAAAACTTCTGTGTCTGCCATTCCTTCCTGCAGAACACATTGGTCCTGTGTTCGAGTCTATGGCAGACTTAGCTCCAGACCGTTTTGATGGACTGCTAACTTACATTAGACGGACCTGGATCGACAATGATATGTGGCCAGTCCATTCTTGGTCGGTGTTTGGATTGAGCATCCGCACAAACAACGATGTTGAAGGTAAAATCACATTTTAAAATATTATGACAATATTAGATATTTAAAATAGACTGTATACATGGTAGCAGTCATACTTCTCATACATAAAAAAATATGTCTTAGCCAAAATTGTAGCGAATTTGAGAAATGCATTCATGGACTCATACATCGCCGCATTAAAGAGATAAATATATCTATTATAGTTGACCTGTGCCTATCTTATTGGTATTGTAATATACTTCTATTATTTTATAGGATGGCATAGAAGATTGAATGGGAGGGCTGGGGGAACGCCTCCATTCTACCTTTTGATAAAACTGCTGTACGATGAGGCCCAGGTAGCGGTGAGGAACTCTGAATTGATAAGTGAAGGAAGACTACGCCGCTACCAGCGGAAAAAGTACACCTTTCTCCAGGGACAGACGCACCAGCTGTGGGATAAGTACAGGAATGGGGAGTTGTCATCAACGGGACTTTTAAGAGAATTCGGCAACTTATACAAGCCCCAAGAGTAGAGTCGTAATTAAGATGTCTAAAAAAAAGACAATGAAATATGTGCATGAAAAAAACAATGAAAGTGTGAAAGTGAAAGTGAATATATACATGTATGACATAATATTGACAAAAAAGACATACTATATGATATTTTATCTTTGCATATAAAACATGTTTTTATACATTAAATGTTATTGCTATTGATCGTCTTCGTGTTGTTTTTTTCTGTATGTAATTTAATCAGAATTATGCATATATATCCTTATTATAAGATGAAACTCCAAATATTCGCATACAAAAAGCGTCAAAATATGTCCAATTCAGTAATTTTATAATATATTATTTTAACAGTCTATAATGATTTATGAACTATATGAAAAACAAGTAGTAATAAAATATAAGGGACGAGTTGACTAGAGGACGAGTTGTCCAGGGGACGAGTTGACCAAAAAGGTGACGAGTTGACCAGAGGACGAGTTGACCAGAGGACGAGTTGACTCTGAATCAAAAATTACTATACACGCATTTCATTAAATGTCATTCACAACACATAAATATAAAGATATAATCATCGTACAACAGTACAATGAAAACTATAGACTCCTTCTCTTTTTTATATCTAAAATACATGCATATCATTATGTATCATAAACTATGATCTTGTCTGAATAACATGCAACAATTAAACAGTTTCTCTTGTCATCATACAACAATGATATTGGATAAACCTGACCAGCACCTTTACCCACAAATTCTCCCAGACATTTACCATCTCTATCAAACATCATGATGTTGTTTGACTTATTACCAGAAATAAACATGGTCCCGTCATTGGCTACACATACACCACATGTGTTGATAAGACTTTTATCTCTCAGTTCTCTCTTCACCGTACCATCTCTGTTCAGCCAGACAACACCATCACTAGAATCTGTTATAATAACAGTATCTCCACTGACAGCCATTTGTTGAGGATTTGATTTAAATATGCGTTGACCATTGACATTATTACTGATAGACTTTATTAATGTACCAGTCATATTGTATACATTTACACCATTTCTACCAGATACCCACAACTCTCCAGCGCAATATGTCATTCCCAAGTAAAGTCCAACTGTAACAGATATATCTCTCACCTTAGATAAAGAGTTTCCTATTGATATAAAACAAACTTTGTTGTTTGAAAGTTTCACAGCGACCTCAGTATTACCAGTACAACAGATACCTGCAGGATATGATTCTAGATCCAAACAATCTTTAATGTTATAATTCACATCAAGCCTCTTTATCCTCATATTATGATAATCAGCCAGTATGATTGTACCGTCTGGAAGCTGACATATATCACTGATGTAGCATTGTGTACAGTCATTTTTCATTTTGATTTTAATCTCCTTCTGTGAACTTACTTTATACAACTTTAATCCAACCAGACTGTTGTTTTCTGTTGTCTTCTCTACAGACCCTAAAGATGTTGACACAATGATTAAAGATTTTAATTCCGTATTTTCCGTAAAACGTAAATACTGACAACCTTTAGCCTCGGTTTGTTTAAAAACTTTCAAAGCATTGTTTACAGTCTGTTGTGCCAGTTTTGCCTGTATAAATTGTTGCCTTATATTCATACTGTCGACTGTCTGTAACTGGCTACTTGCTTGCTCGATTTCTTGTTTAACTTTGCTAATCTGAGAAACATTTGTCTCAATCTCTTCTTTGGCCAAAGTAAAGTCTGAATTAAGTGCTGCCAATGCTTTATGCTTCAGCTTACGGATATGTTCAACGAATTCCCGCTCAATCCCCTCTATCTGAGAAATAATTTCGTTTCTTTGCTTCTCAACGCTATTGATGTTCGTCTGCAACTTCTGGTCAGTGTCATCTAAACGCTCTTGAATTGTTTTCATGTCCGTCTTGAGCCGCTCAATCTCTTTTACTTGATGTGAAGACACGTCTTCTACATAGGATACTCCATTGCAGGATCTGAATTAAACAAAATTTCATCATCATGAACGTCATAACTTTTTAATTGTTATCTCCTATAGTAATTAAAGATCCTGTAACATATTTTTTTTTCATGGTTTTATTTCATAAAAATGATGCTCAAATTAAGATTTGTCAGTATTGTGAGTTCCAACAAGCATTATTTATAAAGATATTACCGAGTTTAACATTTTATGTAAATAAAGGGAGGTATATAGAAATTTATTTTCTATAAATGAATGCATATAATTTATTGATTAAATATAATGTGCAAAAATATTTGCAGTACACATTTTACATATTCTTCGATGTTTGAAAATTGTTTTATTTGCATAATTATATACATATATATATTTTGCAAGTGTGGTATACACACAGTAACAATATCAATCACAAAACATACAGGATCTTTAAAGTTCTTTCTTTGAAAAGATGGGACTCTCGGAATTCATGGAATTCTGGAAAACGTGAGATATCTCGAGAGCATAAAAGTGATTCCATTTGCAACCGATATAGTCCTGGCGATTGTTATTTTTTCTAATATTAATCAAAATTAAATTTATTATAATCTAATGTTCAAAGCACTTTTTGTTTAATAATCAAAACTCTACTCCGATGCATAGAAAAACATTTCCCTGTATGATTGGCTAGAATTAATTTTAATATTTAGTATACATGTATATTTCTAGGGAAACGCTCAAATAGCATAGCGGTAGAGCCCCCCCCCCCCCCCCCTAAATAAGACGATAAAATATATAAACAAACCTGTGATTATCAATAATACATTTGTTACAAAAGACCATGTCATGTGCTCCACAGTACATTTCAATGTCGCGATCTGGATGATAACGACATTTTGTAACCATGGTTACCGCTGTACCTTTTGTTGACGCATCACAATTTACTAACGTATGTGAACGTGTAGCTTTTAGTCGACCATGATGTCGTGAACATGATGTACACAGATATTCCTCACACACGGGACAATACTTGACAGCCTCTTCTCTGACATCATCCTCCCCACATGGTGAACATGTGTTCTCGAAGTCAGCATCCGAGCCGTCTTTTATAGAAGTCAAATCGCCACCCTCAGCCATGGTTCATGCCACTCTTACTTCTATAATATTGGGATAGAATAAAATGTGCTTATATAATTAACATTTATTTGTAGTTTATATCTTCTTCACAAATAGTTAAGGTAATAAGATTGTTTTAATAGCAATGACAACATACATTAAATAGCAATTAAATACAAAAATATCTGCTTTGGCTGAAACAAGTTATAGACATACAAGGATTATCTCAAACGTTCGCATACAGTTTGCTTTCACACACATATTCACTATCTAAATAACAAGCAAGTTTTACGGAAAGTATACAGTTATATCTTTTTTATTTGTTCTTTTTTAAACATCGAATTTTTTGCCAACAGGAGCACGCCAATATTTGGACGATCTTTGGCATCATACATCAAAGAGTTATTTCAGCACTCAGTAGCAAGGAGAAAAGTAAACAGCAACGGCGTTATTTGACGTTCACGAAAAACGGAATCTTACACAGTTATGCGTGTCTCTGTAACTCTCATCAAATGAAACAATCAAAGTGAGAAACAAGCAACAGGGAATGACCATGTGAATATAATTATATGCACGGCTTGCAAAATGCCATAGACGTTTATCATTAGTGGTGATATATGGTGTATATTGTTCATTGTTGAGGCTGCTCATGGAAGATCGATATGTTGTTAAAATGAGTTCTCTCGTCAAATAAAGTATTTATTATTATATTATATTATATTATATTATATTGTATTGTATTGTATTGTATTGTATTGTATTGTATTGTATTGCATCGCATCGCATCGTATCGTATCGTATCGTATCGTATCGTATCGTATCGTATCATATCAATATCATATTAATAATATGCATAAAATGATATTATTATTGATGTTGTTGTTGTTCGAAATGTAACAGCTAGCTTGCCCATGTTACAAATCTTCAGAGGAGAATTATTTGCTATAGCATCGATGGGCGTCAACATTTTACTTATCCTATCCTAAAAGGTGCTAGTCGCAATTATTTGACCTAAAATCTATTTGTTTAATCTTGTTATTCATGTGATATAATATCCATAAATTAAAAAAATAGAAAAAAAGATTTTCGTTATACGTGTTTAATCTTTAATCTTAAATATAGAGGAAAGTTGGGAATGTAGTTTTTTGTATTTTAATTTTTATGTAAAACATGTTTAAAAAGTTGCTAGTTGAAACTTGCCCTGTGAATGACTTACTTTCGCTTTCACATGGAGTAATATATATATATACAGTTACTCACTGAAGTCACATTTTCCTTTTACAGATGTACATATGGAATTTAACACTTTAGGACTGAATTAAAGAATTATTAGAAAACAATTACCATGTCTTCCTCTTTCGTTTTCGTTTTACCTCCCCTATGTCGAACACGACTAAATGTTTTAGTTATCTCCGCAATCGGAACACCTCGACTATTATTCATCATAATGTAGGACTAAATTAATACGGAATGAATCCCGGGGTGTAATCTTTGATAATGTATTGACATCCCAAAGAAAACGTATGTTTCGGTCATATTTTTATTAAGAACATGTCTGAGACCATCATAATCAATTTAAAAACGCCCACTGATCATCTTTTTTTAACCAAACACAAATTAAAGCTACTCTCCCACACAAAACGGGTCTGAAACATCCAGATAAAAATATGCATATAAGTTAAATTTGCAGTTTCCATGAGATAACTGTGTCTAACTTGACACAGATATAAACACCGCTATTATCACACCCGTTAACATTTAGAACTTTTTATATACATGTAAATGTCTGTTTTAAACCGGATAACCAAGATATATTCTTCTTTAGTGTCTCTTTTTATAGACATAACTTTCTATGATATATTGTGCAGCAATCGATTTCAAGACACAAACTTTACAAACGCACAATTGTTCGGTCTACTCGCAGCATTGAACTTATCTTCTTGCATTCAATTAACGGGTGTGTTTATAATTTAATAAAGTCAATATTTACAAAATAAAACGTTGCAACGGTTAAAGATTACAGTAGGTTGATGGAAAATTTAGAAATTATTGAAGAGTAGATGGATTTCGTAAGCATGACGTCTATTAGAAAGTATCATACAGAAAGTAATCTTTTAAATGAACAAAAAAAAGATTTACTCTTTCCTAGTTACTAAAGCACAAAAGCGCTGAAAATTATTTCCTTGAACGGCTTTCAGCGTTATTCATTCTTGCCGATAAATGGCTGTCGATGTTATCATTTAAAAGATGCGAACAGCTGATGACGTTACTAAAATTTTGATGACACTCTAACTTAAATACCCTATAACTTTAACAGAAAAGCATTTTTGAAGATATGGTTTGGAATATTTAATGACAAAATGTTGACGTTTACGAATCGTGTGATAAAACTGGGACATACGATAAGTTATCGTATATCCCAGGATAAAAGGATTTATTATCAAGAGAAAATATAAATTTTTGTGACTTAAAAATAAAAATGCCGCATCTCATCGAATAGTGTGGTTATTTTCAGTCAATATTCACGTGAAGTAAAGCTTGCACAGGGCCAGAAATGTGATAGTATGCTCCTTTGGATGTTGACTATGAATCCATAACATTGATTTACTCGAACGCAGTTGGGGTATGTTAAAATAGGTAAACACTTACCGTCCGTCACTTGTGTTTCGTGCGCCAACATATATATACTGGTACAGCACTGCTGTCAGCCCATTTGATTGTACGGTGTGTTTACAAAATATTAAAAGTTTGTAATCTGGGCGACCTTCTTATCTACATTTAATTCTATAAAAAAAATCAATAGAAAACACCCATTTAAGCAAGTGTGTGCTAGTATGCAGAACGGGACAAGTTATAAACTAGACAATATCCATCTGTAATTTTGAAACAAAGTAACATTCAAAAATTGATATAGATACTAGTCTATATGCGTGTATGTTTCCCCGTTTCACGTGCTAATTCGGAAAAGGGTAGTTTCATAGTTCTCTCCCTTGTATCGGTGGCGTTTGGTCACGTGACATATTCAAGATGGCAGCGACCAGAAGACTTGGAAAGGTTGTGAAAAATTAATATTGAATATTGTCTTTTTACTCATTTTATAAAACTGGATGATAAGGACAATTTTACTGGGAATATTTGGATAACGGCTTGGTCTGATATAATGTTCGAATATAACCCCTGGGAGAAAATCAAGCTATTACCGGCGTTTGTGAATTTTTTGTTTTGAGCAACAACGGAAATAAATAAAGGAAGCTTGAATCGTGATGAGCATTTTTTTCATTTTTTTTTTCAAAATTGAAATAAGTTGTTGAGTATAAAGACACCATGAGTACAACAGCCTGGTACTTTCTCTTTCAATTTTAGGATATCTGACTCATGAATTCACACTTTTTAAACTTTCCCCATTCATGCTATTGCATTGATCTTATATAAATAATGAGGTTTACTAAAAACATTAATGTTCTATGAATATGTATTAACATGATTTATAATGACATCCTTAGATTTTTTGTATTAATGAGTGATTTTTTTTTTTTTTTTTTTTTGGGTGGGGGGGGGTGTCGATTTCTAAAATGACTATTATGATGCATTGAAATTGTTAAAATGTGGGACATTATAATTTATATAACAAGTAACAATTTGCCACGCTTATGATTCACCACATAACGATTCAACAAAATAAAATAATGATTCGCCACAGTTTTATATACCACAGTAGGATTAGAATTTAGATCTATAACAATTAATAATTCAATTTGATAAGAAAAATGACAATGTAAACTCTTTGTTACGCTTCAGTTGATATTTGTTTTAGTTACAATAAACAAGGTCAGATAATTCAAAATACTATGCTCTAAAAGAGACTCAAAGGAGGTTTCAATAGGTACCAAATACTGACTTACTTTCGGCTCAAAATTCATATCTTTGGCTTATACTCTGTGGAAATTGCATGGAGGTAAAATATCACTTCCTTGTGCTGCAGAATTTACCTTTTTAGGTATGTCCATGGGTCTGTACTTCAAAAGCCGTATTTTGTGCCATAACGGGCAGATAGACCATAGTCTACACGTATTATATATGTGCTCACAAGTTTGAATGCCATTCAAGAATGAGATTTTTCAAAGATGCAGCTTTAGTAGCTTTGTGTTATTAATTTCATGTTCATTACAGTGCTGTCAATTTTTACCCTGCATTAAAATACCAATGTCCTCTTGCAAATCCTAATTTCCACATCCTCCTAAACAATTATAGTCACATGCTTTCTCTTTCTTTTTTTCATGAAAAAAAAATTGTAGTATTTTTTTTAGAAAACTTTGTTTTTCAAAGATACCATACCACTTTATTAGATAGCATTAATTACTTTCTATCGCAACAAAGCCTTCAGGCTGGTTTTCATTAGTGACAAGTACAATATTGAATTGTTTTAAAATAAAGAATTCTTGAAGTGTAAAAAAAACTAGGGCAATTGAGAGTGTCAGTCTGGTTGTGTCAATTGGGCTAACCAGAATTGAAACAAGATTTTTTTCTGCATGTTTATTTGTTACTAAACTACAGGGTAATTGTTGATGATGAATTCTGTTCAAAACATTTTATTGGCTTAAAAAGTTTTATACAATCATGTAGTTCATTATTTAAAGTTTTAAAATTTTAATGTAATAATTCGTCAAGTCTTATTTATTTACTTTAAAGTATTGATTTAATCAGACAGAGGATGTTTTTTTGTTTCTTCCAGGAATTGGCAGACCTAAGAAGTAATGGTTCAAAGCATTTCAGGGATATAGAGGTTGATGAATCAAATATACTTATATGGAAAGCACTACTTGTTCCTGTAAGGTTCTTTATGATAGAATATCATAAGTTATATATGTAGACACTGTTTTTAATATGCAAGTAGACCATTGAAACGTTTTTTTTCTCATTTGTTCACAAGTCCAAAGGCAAAGCATGTTCCTGAAACAAATTTGCCTGATTTTACTGTAAATTACATATTATATCAAGTACCTTTTGATTTAGAATTATAAAAAAAATACAGCAGTCAAGCTAAATGTTATATTGTTGTGGTCTCTGCCAGTTTTAAACTTTTCCACATTTTATCAATTAACAAGTTGCTTATATTTCTCAATTAAAAGCTATTACCAATTAAAGTTTTGTTTGATACAGTGGTATTATATTTCTTTCTAGGATCGTGATCCATATGACAAAGGAGCATTTAAAATACAAATAGACTTTCCTGCCGAGTATCCATTCAAGCCCCCAAAGATCACATTTAAGACAAAGATTTATCACCCTAATATAGATGAAAAGGGTCAAGTATGTTTACCAATCATTAGTGCTGAGAATTGGAAACCCGCTACAAAAACTGAGCAAGGTTTGTATCTCAATAGCTATAGTGCTCATTGTTCATTCTTTAATTTAATTTTTTTCTCGACTTAACCATGTGTTTAGTTTATACAGAAGTTATTTTTTAGGTTGATTGTTTAAGAAGCTATATTAAGGTTATTAACATTCTTTCAAATCCAACTGGAACCAACCAGTACTGAGCAATGAGTTGTTTGAGGAAACATAATTTCTTGCCCCTGACGGGGTTTGAACCCATGCAGCTAGCAATCACTAAATTAATATTCAGACGCATTAACAACTTTGCCATTCTGCCACTAGCTTGTATTATGTATGTGAACTGATAGGTATCATTTTGTGAAGTTTTGTGATTAATATTTTTTTTAGGAAGTGTTTTTTTTAATGTATATTTCTATATAAGCTTGGACTATCATTGAATATCACAATATCAGTATATCTTAGATATTCAATTTTCACAATTTATAATATCTATTCTTATTTTATAATGCCAATACAGTTTAATACCCATTTCCCTGTCTTGTGAAAATCTCTCTCTTTTTTCCAATGGTTATTCCTGTCCTTTTTATTTGTCTAGCTTGAACCCTAAATTTAGTTTCCAGAAGGCAGTACTTAGAAAACATTCTTCGAGTATATTGTATATTTTTATTAAAACAAGGATGCATAACACCATGATGATAGTTTCCTAACATACATCCGAAAGGCTTGCACTGTTCTAGCTATTCAAATTCAATATATCGTGGATATTAACCCTTCAGAATATCAATACATCATTTTCCATCAATGACAGCTATAGTTGCACAGTGTTCAATCTAGAGCGCGCCATTGCGCCATTGACCCCCTGAAAAGACCGCCCTCGCAAAACAAATTCAACTGTGGGCCCAATGGGCGCACTCATAGAAAATGCCCTAAATGACATTAGAATGCTTTCTTAAACCTGATTAAGTACATTAAAAAAAGTTTCTTGTGAATAATATTAATAAAAACTAAATTCAAAACTGAAGTTTGTATAGAAAAACAAGAGCATGTTGGTAAAATAGTTACCGCACTCAGTAACCCTTTTAAAACCTTGATCGCTACGCTCTCTCGGCCGGGGTCTGTAAATACTATGTAGACTTGTTCTTCGTACTGTAACTATTACTTACTTTTGAGTCACAGTTTTTATAAACAAAACAAATCATCAAAGATAATCCAATACATGCGTGTAGTTAGAGTTTTTTCATGGTCAAAACAAATAAATATGCCATAACTTTCCGGAGGAAATTTGTGAAAAGTGCCAGTTAATTATAGAGAAGTGTGCATAAATTATTACGAACACGCCTTCATCCAATTAAAAAAGTCTTAAAGATGGAGCTAATCAAACACGATTGGCTAGGGAGTGTCTGACAATTGAGTAAATAACCTTTGATTGGTCTTTGGCTAGTCTGCGTTAAAACATTGTGCATATCATTAATCAATACACACATCTTAAGCGTGACGTAAGAACTGCTGCCCTGACAAAAGATCAAAGGTACCGGTATGTCAATATACATTGTCTTAGCACCTGTTGACACTTTTAATTGTTTTTCGCTTGGATATATTGAGAAGGGTAAATGTTTTTAGCGACTATTGTAAGTTTATATTCTTCATCAACAAAGCTAATTGCAAAATATGATTTTCTTTTATATATTGGGCACTGATTAAAAAACTGAACATTATTATCAAATTTCCTTGGTAACATTAAAATAAGATTCATATGTATCTTTGAACATTATGTAATCGTTTCCTTACCAATCAGTTCTTAAAAATGAGCCTGTATCAACGCTAACAGAACTTTCAAAAAAGGTCAAAATAATGTCATTTTTTTAGTGAGTTGATTGTTTTGGAATTTTGCCACCGTTTTTGGTCTATATATGGTACGTGAACAAGTAACTTAAAAGATACAATACCTTATTTGAATTTGATGTTCTTTTAAGTGTAGGCCCCCTTTTTTTCTCAAAGGACCCCCAACTGAAAAGTTAATGGGCCTAAAGGGCCCCCTGGGAATTTGTTCTAGATTGAACACTGGTTGCAGCCACAATAGATTTTTACTATATAATGAGATCTATAAATCAAAATTGTTCAAGGTTCGTGGTTCAAACTGGAAAACAATATTAAGGAAGCATTTTAGCAAATTTGGCATCAGTATGCAATTCATAATTGAGTACAATACTAAATTCTGTTGGATAAATACAAGCTGTCAAACCTTAATTTGAAGAGGCACTAGCTAAGTCTAATACAAGTTTTGTAGCCGTGTTCTTGTCCAATAGAAGTAGTATTGTACTCGCCAATTTATAATGACATCTTTATTTTCACAGTTTCTTTGAGTAATGACTCAGAAACAGAAAATGAGGCTAGGTAGAGTTCAATAGTGATTTGTTGTAGATGGAATGTTTAGTTTGGCAAAATGAAGAAAATGAGGCTAAATTAATATTATTGGATTATCAATAATTATTTATATATTGAGAGATCACATGGTGCAAACATTGGAAGTTCATTAGTTAAATTTTATAATATGTGAAAAAGGCTAAGGAGAAGAAGATAAGGTGTGAAATATAGAGGATATTTGTTTTTTTTGCATGTAAGATTGAAAAATATTTCACTTAGTGAACACCAGGTGCAACATTTTCACGAGTGGCATAGCCACGAGTGAAATTAGAATAGCTGGTGTTCACGATTGAAATATATTTCAATCTTATAATTATGCAAAACAAATAAATTTTCTATTTATTTCATGTTGTGTGATCAAGTGATTTTAAATATTTTTACTGATTTTACCGCTTAACCTCGTGCATTCTCCTTTATGGCTTCAATACATCATGACGTCACACCATCAATTTTTAAATATATAGTTCTGTTATATTTCTCTAATTTTGTTACATTTTTAACATGATTTATGGTGACATTGACTTTCATTTTCTGAAGAAGCAAAATTTACGCATGACGGCATTTATTTTTGCCTGTTATTCCATTTAGTTATGATATTCTTTTCATCCGCATTGAGATATAGTTCGGCTACAGTGAAAATTACATTTTATAAATTTCACTAGTGGTTTATCAGAATATAACCATCTGATATATTACAGTAAAACACTAGAAAGCATGAAATAAAAAGATATATATCGGTATTAAAAACTTTGTGTAGCTTTTGCAATAAATTGTCGGTTACATTTCTCAGTAAACTTTGTTGGAAAGATGATTGAGTCTAATTTTTGTTTAATGTAACAATTTTTTATACTTTGTTTCAGTTATAAATTCACTAGTGTCTTTAGTGCATACACCAGAACCAGAACATCCACTCAGAGCAGATGTCGCAGAAGAGTACAATAAAGATCGTAAAAAGTTCCTCAAAAACGCGCAGGATTTTACAAAGAAAAATAGCGAGCCTCGTCCAAAAGATTAAATGTTCTGTGATGCTTATTTTCTTTCTCTCATAAAGAAAGCCATTTTTTTCTTCTTTGCTGCACATGATCTTACTGTTTTACAGGTAAATGAATAACACTGAAAGTGTTGTTCAAAATGTACTGATAGCCTGGGAAACAGGTTCAATATTGAATTGCTATTCAAGGAATAATGTTGATAACAATTTCTTTGATGTTAGAAAATTCTAGAGATAGATAAAATCATTTCATAAACAAGTTCTCTTTTTTGTATTTTTTGCACAAGAAAGAAACAATGAAGTTAATCATATGAAACTTGCATATTAATAAATGAGATTATGATAAAGAAAGTTTTATCTAGATGGAATTTGTTTGAATCACTTAAAAAGTCTTTGATGTGTCATTTTCAGTGTACTGCAGCAGAAATGATTTGTTTTGTTTTTTCTTTTTGAAGTAAACTATTAAACTATAAAATGAGTTTCATGCTTAATATAGAATCTGTTTTGACTTATTTATTTTCTTTAACTTGAGTGAGACAAATCTAAGATGTATGTTACATTAACTAAAATGGAACAAATCCAAACTATGTTACTTTAAATATGGAACAAGTCCAAGAAATGTTACTTTAACTTAAATGGAACAAGGCAAAGATATGTTATCAAGGGAGTATCTATGACTTAATGCTTACATTTCTGTTACTGGAAGTAATCAGACTTTACCAGTGCTCAGTATAGAGCCAGGCCAGCCTGTATAGTTGTTGCAGTCTAACCTTGCTCTATGCTGTTGATAACTCAATTCTTATATTTCAATAAACAGATTCTCTTGCTCTCATGACAAAATAAAATTGATATAAAAAGTTACCAAGTCTTGAAAATTCTTTTGTTTATAACATATACAATGTACTATCTTACAAGGCTCACATATGATCACATATGATTGTCATAAAGTTACTGCACATTGCTCTTATAGAGTTTTGTTGTATTTATAACTGCTCTTTTTTATTCATACCTTATATAAAAAGGATCGATTTACACGAGCTATGTGTAACGTATTCACTAATTTCATTAATTATCCAATATTTATGAATATTATTTTTAGTTATACAAATATTTGTCTGCACATTGCGTGATATAATTCAGTTATCATAAGAATATCTATAATTTGAATTTGTTTTTAGACTTCTTTGGATGTTACTAGGTCAGGGTGACACTGGACATGGAAGTGGCCAGTGTCATTCAACTAAGCAACATCCATAAGGTCACTAAATACAAATGTGGGATTAAGAAAATGGTATAAAGATTTATTTAGTATATATTTCCGCATAAATTGACCGTATTTTTTGACAGTTGTCCAGCAGAAACATACCGTAATAATAAAACTATTTCTAACATTGTCAGGCTATATTATTGTCACATTTACTATTACATACTGATTATATGGTCAGAGCATTCTAAATTAAAATATATGAACTTTGAAGTTTTTTTTTCAGTCTAGTGTATCTAAAGAGGTCTGATTTATATCTCATATTAATTCAAATTAGCACTGTGTGTGTAATGTACATGCATTTTAATTGACATGTCATTAAAAATTAAGACAATGCATTTATATTTCACAGGGATTGTTGTTTCTCTCTGTCTCTTATTTGTTCATGCAATACCAGTGACATATATGGGGGGATATATATACTTGTATATATACAGGATTTATACTGTCGTGTGTGATGACACTTAAGTGAAGGGAAGCCATATCGGAAAAAAAGATTCCATCGTAGATAAATGCTCTTATACTAGCAGATTAGCTTATGATGACATGTCTATGTTTTAATCACTTATATGTTGCAATATGAAGTAGTATTTTAATATTAGATATTTCAATGTACTTGTCACACTGTGTAAAAAAAAGAAAAAGGTAATAGGAACTTGTAGTTGGTGAAAGTGTGGTATAATTGTATATTGGTCATTCATGATAACTTGTCAGTTAGCTCTGTGTGCATGTATTGATTTATCAAGGGAATTGATACAGCCTCTGTTAAACAATCACCTTTGGGAGGCAAAAAATTTGGTTGTTGCTTAGGGGCATTGCTCTGGAGAGGTTAAATGTATTTGTGAACTTTTACTTTATAAGATATAGATACTGATTTTTGTATAAAAGGTAGCTGTACAGAACTCTGTTCTATGACAGTGATGTCAGTTAATGATGTTTGTGTATTAATCAGTCAGGATAACCTGTAACTTAAATCTAATTTTGTATTGACCAATCAAATTAACTTGGGTCTATAAATTTTACAAAAACTCAGCAATATGTCGTATTCTTTTGGCTATGTCTGGAGAGACTTTGAGCAACAAATATTTTTATTATCTTACACCATGTCATTAAAACAATATAAGAAAACAGAAGGATAACAAACATTTTTTAGTTTCAATAGGTTTAGGGATGACTTGTGGTGCCTACTTTTTCATAAGTTTACAAACACAATCTTTATATTTAGTTTTTGTGATTCAGTATACTAACAAGTGTTTTACCAATTACAGACAGCCATACACCATTGATTTGCAATTATTGCAATAATTAATTCAGAAAGGGAAATTAATTGAATTAAACCATACTTTAAAGATGTCAATGTAATTTAATAACTATTTGGAAATTCATTCTGTAATTTTTTTGTCCAAACAAATTAAACTGATTTTTTTTATGTCCAAAAAGATTTCATCTTTATCAAAGAAAACCAACACAGGCTCTCCTTTAACTCTGACAGGCTATCCTGAGTGATAAGTACTATTTGTTATACTATGTATATTTAGAATTAGATGTTCTGTTCCATATTCATATCATATTGTACGATTCATTTTAAATGGACCTTTTTAATTGAAAAGTATTAAAAGGCAGACAGTTTGCATGCTAATTCTAGTAATATTTTTTGTTTTAATTCTACTTCATTACCTCTTTGTATGAAAGCGTAACTAAAAGTCTAATATAATATAAATGTATTCCCTCTGTATCTCTTCTACTGAAAAATACATAGCACAGGTGAAATATAGATAAATTTAAAAATAATTTGTTCATATTCCATTCTAATTGTTTTTGAAATAATAAGTTACATGCATCAGGTTTTATCTGTTAATTCTCAAATATAAAATTCAGCATTTTATTGGTTGCTCATAGGTAGGAAAGAATTAATATATTTTGATAACATAAATTATTACCTCCTTTTTGACTTAGAAATATTTAGTTCTGGTACCACCTGACTTTTTTTAATTAAGCCCCCTATTTCTTGTTAAAGCTTGGAAAATACTTAAAAATAACCATAAATTTTTACTTTGAAACAAGTACATTTCTTAAGTTATACCATTTTTTCATACTTTCAAAGACCCGTTTTTATTACTCTAGTTGCATAAAAAGTTGGAACACCCCTATATTACGAACAGCATATACTTACCTCTTTCCTTTGTCTGATTGGCCGATTCATTTTTGAATTTGACCAATAAAAACTCTTCAAATTTTAGACTGGTGTCAGTGATTTTGATCAAGTGTGAATTTGAACTTGTATAACTTTGTAAATCATTATTGTATACTAATAACTTTACATATTGTAGAGTATATGTATATTGTGTGTGTGCATTTGTATAGGAATTAATGAAAATATTTATGTGATGTTTTGGAGATTATGGTTGATGGTTTTTGTTTTTTTCTGTTAACTTGGTGGTCTGATTGTCAAGTGTAAGTTTTTGGTTTTCCGTGAAAGCATGTTGTATTCCAACAATTATGGACTGTAGATGTGCCCATTGTCATTATATAAAAATTAAGTGAATAAGTCTTATTCAGTTGTACAGTATTTGAGAATACTTGCTGAACCTTAAACCTTCTGCAGCCAAAAGTGGATACAACCTGACCCGGCTCAGTACTGTCCGTGGCTCAATTTTTTGTATTTAATTATGTTAAAAACCGCCTCCGTGGTTGAGGGGTTAGAGTCGATAACTTCTTATCCAGTTACCTCTCTGGCGTGGGTTCGATCACCGGAAGATGCTTTGGTAGTTTAGTGCGGAGGAAGGAAGTCTAGTACTGGCGTAACTCTCCAGGAACGATGGTTAGGAAACTACCCGACTATATGACTTAAATACTGTTGGGAAAAGGCATAAAATGAAACAAACGAACAAACAATTATGGGAATCCCTTAATTTGACTGTGCAGGGCAAATCCATTAGCTTAAGGAGGAATTAATGCAATAGTTTTAAAATTATTTGAGTAACATCTATGTAATTGAACAATTTTATAGCAGGTAGAGGCACTAGCACATTAGAAAAACATCAAGAAATATTTTATGGGATACTCTTCTATACCATAATTGTTTCAGACCCTGAAATGTAGAGTTTTTCAATTTGGAACAGAAGACAAAATTAAATAATGGGACAAAGTATAAAATCACCATGATCGTATAGTTAATCATGTTTTCTTTCCAGAAATTATATGAATAGTATTTTTGATCTTTATTTTTTGAAAGAAACAATCAACAGTGCAGAGTTGTATGACATACAGTGCGGATTTATATTTTTGACCAACAAATTTGTTTATAATTTATTTTCTATAAATTTGAGGAATGTGTTATTTTATTATATACTATCTGTCACAATGTATGTAATGTGTGTAATGTAAAGATCATAACAGTGATAAATCTTTGTTCATGATAAAGAAGTTTTTTTTGTTGTTTTTTGTTTGTATTTTTTTCAGAAACATGGAAAAAGAGAAAAGTTTGTTAAGACTCTCGTTCATTTAATCTAAATTTTAGATATTTCTCTCTGGTAGTGATATTGTATGTACTTTGAACTATTGAAATTTTCACCAAGACACAAGATATGTTTGTTGTCTTTTTTTCCTTATCCCATATAACCATCCTTTTGTATAACAAGAAAGATTTTCTTCATTTTAGCTTTGAAGAAAATCTACAATTATTATGATTGCTGCATCATTGTTGTTAAGGTGCAAGAACTTTAATGTAGCTCATTTCTCAAAAAATAGTTGTTATCCATAACTTTATAGCAAACAGCGTTTTTCTTAGCTAATTCCCTGGTACAACCAAACATTTACTGCTGTATTTGACACTCATATTAAAATCAAGCCTCTGTTTGTCTATCTGTCTGTGCATCCCCACTTGCGCAACATTCCTTACGGACTGTAACTTTGTCATCCATTAGAATTTTATTAAAACATACTTACATTTGAGGCATGTTTAAGGGTTTTCCACTAATACCAACCGTATACAGATAAGTAGGCAATGCGATGAAAACTTTTGACCTACATTACTATATTGAATAATTTTATGGCTTTAATGCATAAAATATCATGCATACAAGCTTGTCATTGCATGTGAATGCGTTGGGGGTAACGGCACTGGGTAATACATACCAGCGTTTAGTCTACATTCTATTTCCTGAATTACATTGGTTTGTCTGATCAACAATTATTAATTAATCAAAGCGCAAAAGGTGCTGAATTTGTTTGGGTCTCAGAATGTCAGAAAGGTGAAGGCTGTGAGATTATAAACCAATTTGTTTTTGTATAGTACCACTAATGCTTTCCAGCGTTTTAATTGTAGTAAATTGGCTATAAGACTAATTGCAACACTGATATTCAATTCAATGTTTATTTGATTTAAACAATTTGAAAAAAATACGAGTTGCCTTAACTGGGATTTGAACTCCAGACCTCTCGCTTCCTAAGCGAGCGCGCAAACCCCTCGGGCACGGTGGAGTTGTATATTAACGGTCTGAAGAAAACCATATTATTCTAAATTAGGGTTTGTAACCCTTATTATTTCGACGCTAACTATTGTTTAACACAGACGTTAATAATCATGGAGCTTACTATGAAAACTAAGTGACCCCTAGGACGCGGCCATATTTGACCTCAGGGGCATGATTTATATAACTTAGAGGACCACTAGGTGATCATGCAAAATATCTAGGCTTTGTGCATTGTAGTTTCTGAGAGACAGGTTTTTAAAATCTCATTTTTAAAGTTGTTTTTTTTTTAGCTTCAATGACCTACTTATGCATCAGATTGGAACTATTTATATAACTTGTTGAGAAATCATTTCTGTAAAGCAAATCAAATTCCATCAAGTGGTTCAGAAAACATTGTTTAAAGAAATTGTGGATAATGGATGAACGACAAACACACTGCTATCACAACAGCTCACCTCTGAGTAAATTGCATGCAGTAAAATCATGGAACAAAATGCCATAAAATTTTCAATCAAAATTTATTCAAACGAGGAAGTCTACAAATATCAAATTTTACTTAAAAATATTTAAATTCTTGCAGGTGTCTTCACTAACAGGTCTATATGAATAAATTATAATTTTAAATGATTCTTCTTTGTGATTAAATATCTTTTTTCTCTTTTGACCTCCTTCACAAACGAAAAAAATTGTTTTTGTTTCACATCTCTGCATTTAATGATGAAGATCATTAAAATCTTTTTCAAAGCCGCTCTTCAAGGCGTTTACATACTCGTTATGTAAGAGTGAATGTTCACCATCTTTGAAAGGAAATGGCTGAAAAAAAGAAAAAATGTCTTTCTTTCATTTTGAATATTCACAATCCTCAAAAGTTTATTTAAGCTGTGATAATGTAAAAAGGACACAAAACAATATGAATGAATACTAAACAATGCATGTTAAATAATGTTCTACAGATGTGCAACACTACCTTAGTTACCACAGGCCTTATTTTATCAAATTTAAATGACAAGTTTCATCACATTCTGTTGGGCAGTTCAGACAAGATTTCAATTGTTACAGCAGAAAATAAATATGCCAAAGGTATCTACATATCATATAGTTAGGTTACTTAATAGGTGAAGAATTTTTTTAATTGAAACCTTTATTTACATCCTTCAACACAATGTTACCATGGCATACTGTCAGACTTATGTGAAGTGCCTATACAATGTACATGGCCCTTGACCAGGGACAAATTTACAAAGACACAATTATAAGCCGCCTTACCTTGGTTCTCATTTACAAGAAAACAATTAAAAGCAGCCTAATCTTGGTTATCAGTTACTAATTTAGAGAGATTATATGCCTCACCTTGCTACATATTTACAAATTAACAGGCTTTACATTACTGGTTATTTACAAAGAGACAATTATATGCCTCAGCTTGGGTCTAAATTACAAAGTATAGGTCTCACCTTCGTTCTAATTCTAATATGATCATACTCTCTGAATTCTGGAGGTGAGTGATCTTCAGGGCTTGTATGATAGCACATACGCCACAAAATTGCATTAGCTGGCAATGCAACTACACCAAAGACGGCCCAAAATTTTGCCCATCGTACTGAAAGAAAGAAGGAAAAAATTAAACATTAATCTCGTAAAATTATCTCCAGTTTTGACATCATGTGTCAAAAAACCTCAGAGGAGTCCCTTTAAAAGTGAGTCCAGGTTACTGTTAAGGGTTTGCATATGACAAAGACCATTTGAATTCAATCTGTGATTTCATAAATTAGTGTCATGTGCACAGAGTGAATGCCTAATCAGATATTTCAAAAAATCTTATTATCTACAAATGTTTAACGAAAGTATATTATTATATTTATAATTTTTCTCAGGGCTACCTTGCCACTATGATACAGATAGGTCAAAAAGAGCCACCGCCAGTCAAGGGCACCTTTTGACGTTTTAACATTTTTTAAAAGCAAACAAATAAACAGATTAAATAAATTTTTAACTAGCAATGTGTCCATATGACATGGGTGCTGATTAATCTATCTTATGGCTCTAGATCGAATATTTTTTGGACAACATGCACCACAAGTTGAAAACTAAAAATCTTTTACTTAGTAAAGGGCTGGAACTTTACAAATACAATGTACTGAATAAATCTACAAGCAAACCCCAAGGTGCATAAGTACATATGCTGACCAACATTCTTGTAATCTTTCAGGCCTACAGGTCTATAAATACATCTTTTAATTTTTTTTTTCTTCATGTTTTTTTTTTTCCATATAATTGATTTTTGTCACTACTTATAACATTTGGAAATTGTTTATGGGTTTTGGATTGTAGAGGGGGAATGGGGGCATAGTGTACCTGTGTAAGTCATGGCTACATGCTGAACACCTGTGGCCTAGTTGCCTACAGTTAATGACAACTATTTTCAAATCCTTATTTCACAGGCTGTATATTATTAAAACAAATTGCAATTACAATTGCTTAATGTATCTTTAAATATTTAAAGTTACTGAGCTTTGACTACGGTGGGAAATAATCTAGTTTAGCAGCCTCCTGAGTTCTGAAGTCAAATAGTCATATATTTCCAGAACTGCCTTATTCTGTTACTAAATAATAAAATATTGTTGTAGTTTTAAAGTAAATTTCTTAAAAAAGCAGGTGTGTGGTGTTTGTTAATTCTGGTGGTTGTTAAACTAGAAGTGTTCTCATGGATAGAGCAAGGTCAGGTGGGCAGGGATTCGCCACTTAGTTTCTGTAATCTTACAATACACCCATTGACAGTCTCTATATGAACAATGTAAATAACCAAGGTATATCGAGTGAAAAAATACTAGTGACTAGTTGTTTCAACACATTGTTTAACATTTTAGGTATCAAAATTTTCAAGTCAGAATACCACAAGTCAGACCGTTTTACATATGTTTTAATACAACGAGATTTGCAACTGGTTATCTTTACTCGCAATTCTACTTAGAACAAGAATAGCCCGTCGTCTGACAATTGGTGTATCCTGCCATTCCCAACCCTATTTCATGCCAGACACTCATTGCATGTGAATACTCATAAATTGGCATTTCCATGTGATTAGTCAATGCACGTGATTTTGTATAAAATTCAATCTCACAATCACAGCATTTTGTGTTTTTATTTAGAACAATAGTCAATATTCGTTGTGACAGCTATGAAAAGATAAGCTAGGTTTTAAATCAGAAATTTTCCTTCAAATTCCTTATAATGTGAACTTCCTTGGAAAAAATATTAAAAAATAAAAGAAGGAATAAATCGTTTTAACCACAACATTTCAATCAAACACCGTCTACGTGAATTTAAACTTTATGAACATGAAGACTGAAGGTCAAACATCTATCATACAGAACATGACTTTTAGAAAACAGTAACATTCAGTGACGTTACACTTACAACAAATGGCCTTCGCAAAATCTCCTTCATATCTTACTAAAGTTGGTGCTACTGGTTTTCTGAAAAGAGGTCTAACTGCGCGTTGAAGAAGCATTTTGTTCTTTTTTGATCGCCACTATTCCGATAAGTACTTGTCCCATTCGGAACTTCTCGCTGATTATCCTTAATCCGGGGAACTACTAATAGACGGTCTCCGGTGTTCGACTTTTCCAGATCTCCGTAGACCGTCGGTTTTGGACTCGGCCCGGTGAATTTTCGTACTATTTGTTCTTTAGTAAATCAGTCACATTTCAGGCTAAATTCTGGATTCCACTGTTCTTGATGAATTATATACTGTCTTCAACTTTAAACATTAACACTATCTAAGTTCAATGATGCCCAATATACAATAGGTTAGCCATCTACTTTTTTTTCTTCAGAAATCTTCATTCTGTTGAAACACTGTTTAAATTCACCACTTTAAAAACTCCTGACAGCTGGTGGGTAGTACATCTTTAATCCTTCCGCCAACAAATGAGTTCCTGGAGAATACACAAAAACAACTTTTCATCATATAACACACAAAAACTACACACATGCAATAAATACACTTTAATTATGATCAATCTAACTAGAGATGAATTAAATTGGGCCACTTCAAAATTTTAAAGAACTACTTTCTAGTACCGGGTTGAGACCTTTTATGGTAATAATAATAATAAACACTTTATTTCATGAAGGTAACATATTAAGAAATACATATCTTTTTTACAATATTTACAATATGGCCTTCAATTACAAGATAATGAAATCCACAAATATGTACACACATATCAAAAACATAAACAACAACCATTTAAATTGACAGACACATGTATACATCAGATTCATTTAAATTGTATATCAAGTAAATATTTTTTCATATTTATTTTTTTAAAGTATACAGAGACGAAAACTCTTTAATATATATAGGTAAATTATTCCATTCTTGCATTGCATTATTTCTAAAAGTTATTTTAACATATTTTGTATTAGATCTTGTAAACATGTAATTATGTTTCTATTTGTAGTTGATCTAAGTGTATACGTTTCATTTTTCGAGAACACTATGATATCTGAAATGTAGGAAGGAGTCAACCCTTTTATAGATTTAAATACAAAAATGCTGTATGATAGGTGCATCTATTTTCAAAAGTTAACCAGTTTAATTTAAGGAAAAGCTGTAAAGAAGGCGTTTTAACTGATTTACACAATATTATCTTTGCTGAGCGTTTCTGCAGTTTATTCCCTTTTTCAAATTCAGTTTTATTATAAGTACTTCATATAATACAACAATAATCAAAACAAGGTAAATTATAATCATTGTAAAACATTTCTTTCATTTCAGCGGATAAAAAGTACGATATACGCTTTAAGAGAACAATTTGTTTTTGTAATCTATTACAGACGTACTTTATTTGAACATTCCATTTTAAGTTTTCATCTAAGTAAATACGTAATAACTGTGATTTCGTTTGACTTAGTCATGAACCTTCTATATTTATATCTAAAGAAGGTTTGGATTTTAATTTATTTTCTGACCCTATTACCATACAAGTGGTCTTTTTCGGATTTATTGCCATGTTGTTTAATTTACACCATTTGCTTATATTATCAACATCTCATTGCAGAGTTCTCTGAATCACTTCAATTTTTTTATTTTGATGCATGCATAGTAGTATCGTCAGCATTAATGTCTATGTAAGAGTGTGTTGTATTAAATGGCATATCATTAACGTAGAAAATGAAAAGTAAAGGACCTAATATAGGCCCTTGAGGGACCCCTGATTTCACTGTTCCACTATTTGAATGACTATTTCCATATTTGATAAACTTTGTTCTACTTTCAAGATATGATTTGAAGAGTTTAATTGAGGTGTTTGAAAATGTGTACAATTTTAACTTATGCAACAATATGTTGTAATCTACCAAATCAAATGCATTCTTCAGGTCTAAAAATACTGTGCCTATCAAACAACCCTCATCTAAATCATTAACCCTTTCATGAGCATATTGTGAAAAATGGCCTTTTTCATTGAAAAGCCTCCTGTTACAAGTTCAAACTGCTATGAAGCTATGAAAAATGCTTCAATACTAATCAAAATTGGCACCAATGTTGACTGGACCATTGCCTCTGTAACGACAGTTTGCACAGTCTTAAATTTCCTGTTACCATGGCAACGACGGGACGTCTCAAAATTGCCAAAAATCACTATTTTGCCTTGATTTTTTCCCGTCAAAATTTAGTTCAAAGTGCTGCAACTTCTCAAGGGATTGAGATAGAGTCAAAGACTTTTCAGCGTTTGTTACACGTTACCTTATGATCGACCTGGGGTCATTGTTAGCCTCTCACAAGTCCAAAATTTTCTTGGCGATCAGGGGGACTACCGCCCCCTTCAAACCCCCAAACAGAAGGGGGCACATCCCCCTTCTGGCAACCCGCCGAAAAAGTGCTCACTTTTTTTAGCAACATTTCTCAAACGAAGACATGTGTTTGGGGCCCAAATAGGACATTTTTTCACTATTTGAGGCCTAAAACAGGGGGTGGTGTTTCGCGTATATATGAGGTAAAGGGTTAACAAAAATGATGTAAAACTTGGCAATTACCAAAAATCTAGTTTTTCCATGTAAGCATGTGGTCTTTCACCTAATTTTGGTGAAAAATCGTTGTTTTGAAACATTTTTAATTTTTTTAGTTTACAAAAAATGATGAAAAACTTGGGAATTACCCAAAATCTAGTTTTTCCTTGTTAACATGTGGTCTTTCATCTAATTTTGGTGAAAAATCGTTGTTTTGTAACATTTTTATTCTTTTAGTTAAGGAAGGATTCTGTGAGTCGTATTAGAGTTGTTTGACAAGAATATTTTTTCTGAAACCCGACTGACTTTCACAAATGATATTAGTTTCGTATATATAACTGTGTAATTGTGATGCAATATGCTTTTCAAAAAATGTTGGTATGGTTGGCAAAATTGAAATTGGCAATAAGTAGTTTTACTTGGAATGGGGTGATTTCATCAATAATAAAATTATGCATTTGAAGTTTTTTGTTCAGTTGTTCTTCAAGTGATTTGAAATTTTCTGTTTTGAAAATTAAATAGTAGATCCTAACTCATTTAATCTTTTACATGTATGTGCAAAAATAATTCTTAGTTCAGAGGATAATTGTTCCGAATTACAATTGTTTACAAAGTTGTAATAATCATAAGTACTTTTTTAATTTACCGGAACGGAATCGGAATTGCTCTGTTCTGTAACAAATTTGTTACATAAATTACTATAATAAATATCATTGTCATTAGTATTTGGTGATTTAACTGATACTAAGGCAATCGCATTTACATTGCTCTAAATTGCATTTGCTACAAAGATTTATAAATATGCTATCTGTATTAAATTGATTAATAAACACGTGCCTGTCTGCTTTTTCCTACCATTCACGGTATCTACAGTCAACAATTTTACGATTGTTCCTACCACATATTTGACACAGAGATCCAAAGATTTTAGGTTCTGTTCGGAATTGCCAATACCCATTTTTCTGTTGTTTTTGACGTTTTGTGTTCTGTGTATCTGTATGATATCTACCAGTCATTGCTTGTTTCGTCTTTACAATAGCCAGCGATTTGTTAATACACCTTACCAACGCACTAGATCGTCTTGTATTATGATGAATTCCATCACGTTGGCACATGTGTTTCACTACATTTCCATCTCCATACACAAATGAACTATATGAATTTATCAGTGTTGCACCTGTTTCATAACAATTTTTTTCTAATGGCAATGTTCATAGGAGTTGCATCGACGTCTATTCTCGGGCATATTGTACATAATTCTAACACGACCCGCATTTTTCCCTATTGAACATAGAGGAACCGAAAGTGTGTGTTATTATGCTATAAAATCACTGTTTGACGTTCTATATTTAGATATGTGACGTAATCATTATATACGTGACGTAACCACTAAAAATGTGACGCGCTGACAATGATTTTGTTTTTTCAAAAACCATTGTGGATCAAACTTCATATAAAAATAAAAGTTAAAAAAAATATATATTGATTATTTTTTTTACCCTACAGTCACTTTGATTTATGGTTCCAATCAAATAAATTATTTATAAATTTACGCCTTGGATGAAAATTATGTTTTGTTTTTCGAGCTTTTTCCCTTTTTTGGCCTGGAAAACTTGTTCCGGTTAGGTGGTTTCCTGCTTACATCTGTTGGTGCATGATTGCACGGGAAACCAGCTGCAATTGTGCCAATCGCAACTTTTCGGCCTTTTCCGTCAGTCTTCGGATTAATGATAATAGCCGATGTAGTTCCGATTGCAATCGTGACAATTCGGGCGATTCCGTTATACTGCGGAGTAATATTACGGAAATCTAAGCTATTTTAGTTACTTCGGTAATCCCAGTTTGTGTATATAAATAGGATTTCTATTTTTTACTTGATTTATCGGTTTAAACCGTAATAAATTATAAACGAAATTGTTCCGTTTCATTTGTTTTTCAAGACGCAAAAGTTAGTTTCTTTTATAATTGTTTTTTTGTCTGTATTAGTTTTATACAATAGAGAATGGTGACTGTAGTATTAATATTCCGTCCTGCTTACCAAATCACGCATGATCGAGTTATATTTAGATCTACTGAACGCAATTCAACTTCTTGGTGAGGTAATCTAAAAATAGCCCATGCATATCATTAACCTTGCCACGTGCTGATCTATGTATCATAGTTCAGTTGATACATGCTTATTAATTGGTACCACGTAACGAAGTATTTTAGTGCATTTACTTGTCTATAAAGCAAAGGAATGATTTCGCTGCGAAAAAGGGGAAATGAGATGTGCACACTTGTTATCCTTCAGTATCACGTTAATATTTTTACGATTGATCATTTTCTTTATTAGTTTTATACAATAGAGAATAGATCTAAATCGTTTGGACAAAAAAATATTCGGTTTTCCAAGAAAAAAAACAACTAAATAAACAAACAAAAAATGTGATAATAAATTGAACCCCCCAAAAAAAGAACAATTTTAAAGGGTTGGGATGAAGGCACAACTGTGCAAGCCTTTCCTTTTAAAAGGAAACTTTATTTTTTATTAATCGTATGTATGCCACTTTAAATCAATCAATAAAAACT